CCCCCGTCCAAACCAAGCTCTTCCTCATCATCACCATCACTATCACCATCATCCTCCTAATCATCGCCATCACCATCACCATCCTCATCAACATCATCTTCATCATCATTATCATCCTTGCTTTGGCCTCTCCAGCGCCATTCCTTAATCAATGTGAAATTAACTGTGTGTCTTTTGAAGCTTATTAATGCCATAACTATTAGTTAAACACGCCACCCCCACCCCAACACACACACACACACACACACACAAACTCCATTTGGAGATCTATGCCAGGCCAACAATTTCTGTAATAGATTTTTGTGTAAATCAAAAATTAAGAAAACAGTAGCACCTCTGACATACAATCACAAAATGTCTCCAGGAAAACAAACGAAAGGAAAATCATGAACTAGAACAAATTTAAGCTGCCAAGAGTATACATATAGACTTTATTTCATATCATTGAGACAGGACAATCATGCATGCATACATGTCCGCTGCTAAACACATAATATCACATACAGTCTGCTGGCAGCTAGAAGGACATTAACTCTTTGTTAATGTATATGAGTTAACACCCTTCTGGTTCCAAACGCATAGCATATATCTTGCAATTTGAGAAGAACGGCCTTTGGGATGCTATAGTCACTTGAGAAACATAAGGGCACATCTTCATCGGACTGAATAAAGGCCTTCAGCCACCGAAGTGATAACATATTGAAAGCACAATCACTTAGGGGATGGTCACTATAGATATGCATTACAAGAATATAGAGGTCACAGTATGCTACATCTACAACTAGTCTATGTATATGTCAGTTTGCTTATTACAGTACCATCCCAGTTAAATATAAATCCAATGTTTGTTTTTTATCGTTTACATTGATTGTCTTCACAATACAACCTGTTGAGAGTGAGTACGGCAATGATGTACATACTTCTTCACTGAGTTAACATACTGGTTAAATTCAGAGTTAAATTAAGAGTCAAATTCAGCACATAATGTACACTACTTACAATGCTAAGAAATTTCATACTGCCTCCACATTTAAACATCTTTGAGTTGGTAAGTTTTGCTCTCAAATGTAAGAGTTAATTATCTACATGTAACGATCATTTTCTTCTGGCAGTTTACCGTGGCAAGATACTATTTTTTTAAAGCAATATACACATGATTCAATGTACAAGCAAAGTCACTTGACATTAACTCCATTAACTCCAAAGGACCATAAAGGAAATTCGATTAGATGAAGAATATATTCAGCTTTAGCTAAAAATTTGTTATCAAAGTGGCAACACAGTATAAGATGCAATAGAGTCGACTAAACACTGGTGTCGCAAGATGGAGCTGTGAATTGTGAATCTACTCATTGTATTAGAGATTGAAATTGTAGTCATAAAGGAATGTGATAACGAAATGTTCTCCACTTTACATATTATATTTCAGTCAAAAATAATCTGTGAAAAAGAACAATTGACACACCCCACTCTCGAGCTATATACGTTTGAGTGTGACATTAAAGTCCAGCTTAAAAAAATAAAAATATGCATACTGCTTAAATGGATACATCAAGTTCTTGTGGTCTAGCTTTTTTACTTCAAATAGGTACAAAACAATGATAACAGACAAATGCACATTTAAAAAATCATTATTCACATGTAAATCAGAGTTGTAAAGTCTTGGAAACTTTGACAGTAGAGTCCCACAAGTTACAGAACTATCCACAATATGGACGGTTTCTGACCATCATGCTCATATCTTATGTGAAGGACTATCAACCATTTCAACTCTTTGTCAGCTTTGTCAGACCAATGGAACAACCAGGGGAGTGCCACAGTCAACTCTTGTCACACAGACAATGTACATGCATAATACACTCCAAACAATGCACATACTATAGTAGACTTTTGATTCATGGCTAATATAGTTAACTAACCTCAGCTAGACATCCTCCAAATGGAGGCATTAACCATCATCAGTGAACTAACAAATTCAGAAGCCTGCTCAGGAGTGCTCTTGCACGTACTCAGTTATGAATACTTTGTATAAATGATACTACTTTGACTCAAACTAAAGCAAAGTGTTTAGCATTCCTCACAAGCAGAAATGTACACTGCAGTCTGCAGGTAACATCTTTTTCTTTCATTTCGGGTCATCACACTTCTCTTTCCCTGTGTGGCTACAAATCTCAAGGAGAAAAGTCCTTTTGTCCAAAAATATCAGATGCAAAAACCAGCTACTGCACTGAAAGGGTCAGCATTATTCATCAGGTACATGTATGAAACAGAGCATTGAACTTTAGAGTCTAATTAAAGATACTTTCAACCCAACTTGATGATGTTGTTGGTGTTTAATTTCTTGAAAAGTGTATCAGCCCAAAGTAATGTATTTTTAAATACAAGACCTGATCAATGTAAATCTCTACTCGACATTGCTCTTATTCTAATAACCGACCCCATACCTATATGAATCTCATATAAAATAGATTAAGGAAAGAGATCTAGGATTTAACACTAATTATATTGAGTAGACTGCATGGTCGGTGTCTCATCTGAGAATAGGCGCACTTACCCACCCTTGATGTTCTATAGCTTGGTGAATGCTACCCTAACAGACTATTGCTCGGATTCATGGGTTACACTTTCACATTAATTCTCACTTCATCAGTTATCAACTGGACAAGTTCTACACAATAATAAACAATGACAGCAACAATGAGTAATTCTAAAGACACTGGCCCAGTTTCTACTATACCAGTAATCTAAACCTGACAATGAATTTAGGCTTTTGTCTTAGTAGGTCCATTGTTTAACAATGGAAGTTGGTCCAAGGTCCTTCGTTGATCATGATTTAAGACCCAGGATCAAGTTAACCTGAGTTAGTAGAATCTGGACCTTTGTCAATATCTAACTACATTGTTAAAAATACTTTCAATATAACAAAAATACGATTTATGTAGTAAATTATTACATAAAAATCAAATATAAGATAATTGCATAATTTTTTTCTTATTATATACATACATGTATACACAATATCATTTAACATGCTTAGTGCAATATATAATACACATGGAAGCCAATGTTTGAAAGAAAATAGAAACATAAAGTTACTTCTCTATAAACTGAAGCCCAGCTCAGTAGAATACAGTCATATATCACAGTATTCTCTAGCAAACAGTCATGAATCCACATCAGTGGTAGCAGCCAGTGAAAAAAATACACGGGGGCTTGGGGCGAATTAGCCCCCGAAATGCCGAAAAGAGCCCCCAAAATTGGCATAGAGTTCAATGCAAAGCAAATTAAAGAGTATTATTTTCATGCAACCAAGCTTGAAAAGTAGCCCCCTTTTAAGTATTTTTTCCCCTGGTAGCAGCCATTTGTTAATGCCGTGAGAATAATTTGATGATCCTAAAAATGAAGAATGATTATACCACCTCCCTCTTTTTTTGTCCAGATAATTGGATGGAATCATGGTAAAAATTTGTCATAATACGACACGAATGAGGGACTTTAGGAAGGTCTACCGGAACTTTAAATTATGAACTCTGAAATGTAAGCACCAGAAATGATTAGAAACAGATTTCACACAACATTCTTGATACAAATGAATTATAATTGTACATGTTATGGATCCTTTCAAGGAGATAATAATAAGTAATTAGATCTTCTATTTACAGCCAGATGATCAAAATTCATTTCGATATTAAAGAACCTTTAAATGAACTCCTATGATATGAAGATCACAAGAACAGGCAAAATGAGGCATGGAAACGTCCATTTTCAGCACATCACTTATTCTTCAGCGCAAGTTGATCCAATTACCACTAATAATGTGACCTCTAGGTGTATGTACATGTACTATGACATGAGCGATGTTATATGACTGCAAGTGATATCGACCCATGTTACTGCAATATTGCATGCTTTTGTAGACAGATAACACTACGTGGATAACACTACATGGGGCAGAGCCTATTCCTATTTGGCAAGCACTTCCATGCATGTGTGTATATGGTTGCACCTCAAGTACCAGCACGTGATAAGAAAACCCACAGCGGAGGGTACAGTATAAGGATGTAAAAGCTGGGAAAAGTCACCCTTGGCATAGCACCAGACAGGGTTTTGAACCTAGAAGCCACCCGAGGACAGAACCACTAAGCCACATACTGTCAAACCACAAGCTTATATGCATGCATGAAATTTTGTCAGGAGTGGTTCAGATTAGTTAAAAGTTTTCTGCCACAAAATGAATAATTGAATCACAATTGAAACAACATTAAGTTTTTGCAATTCATGTAGGTTTCTTGCTATGAAAATGGCCGTCCTTAACATTCCACAAAATTGTCTGAACCTCTTGTATTAACTAAACATTTATAGATCAAGGCATGGGAGAAGTAATAATAAAAAAAAAAAAAAACAGACTACAGATGATTCACCAGTTATACCTACTTGAGCACTCGTAGAGAGAAAACAAAAATTGCATGGTTGAAAAAACTCATAATGGAATGATACATTCTGAAACACCTCTTATTTTTAATTTTTAAAGGGATAGTTGAGTTCTGTTTTCAGACCGCAATTGTCTTCAAAGTGCATGGTTATTGCTCTTATTCTTATCAGTGACATTTCTAGTGCCCTTTGAGGACCTAAAATTGCTATGAAGGTAAGTTTAGACCCGAATATGTGTGAAATTTAGCCAATACGACCATACCAATTTAGCTTCACTTTAAAAAAAAATACAGTGACCGTTAATTAGTTAATTAATTAATTAATTAATAATAACACGACATGGGCCAGCTGGTTGGGCTTAATATAACCAACACGAAAAAGCCAACGTAGGCATTGGGTGTAATACAACGTAAAAAGACGCTATTTCGTTTTTTCAACAGCTTTTTCAAATCATCAAATATTTGTGGTGGTACACAAATATTTGAAATCGTTATATTTATGGATATTTCAGCTGTCTCTGAACCAATTTTGATCAAACAAAGATGATTTTGACATTTAAATTGTATGTTTTTTCAAATTTGACACTCAGTTTTTTATTATCTCACAAAAAAATTATTTTGTGTAGTGCCCTCTGCAACAGAACTCAACTATCCCTTTAAGTGACAATGAATTGTGAGCTAGCTTCCATTGCTCTGTGTACACATCGCTATGACACTTAGATATTGCATGATTATATAGAGACAAGAAGCCGTGAAAGCTTGGACCTGCTGCCTATTGCTCATCGCCATGGTTACTGACGACATTCACCATGTTGAATGCGTATTCATGGTGAAGTGCCTGGTGTAGTCGTATTCTATCGTTGGAATCACGGCTTGAACAAACTTCAGGAAAATTAACAGATAACTGGACAGGTGCGTAGTCAAGGAAACAGAAGCAGGAAATAAACTGACGTAGATGACTGACTGTTCACTTAAAAAAAAAATATATCTCTCATTCATTGATTTAAAAAATGTTAGATGTTTAAAAATCTAATGTTGATTTCCTGTGTTATATTTCACAAGATGTTATAGAATGCTTTTATAATACTGTTTTTATTAATCATGTCACAACTCTGTATTATATTATATCATATTATATAGTTTTGAGTACCAAATAAAATATCACTTGAAAAACAAAGAGATGTTTGAAAAAAATATAAAAATTAGTTGTAAGATTACGTTCCGTCTTGAAATTAATATCAATCATTCATTGATTAAAAAATGTTAGATGTTTAAGAAAAAAAAAATAGTTGTAAGATCATGTTCCGTCTATCATGGCGCCTTCTCCAGGATACTTCAATTCTTTATTGTTCTGTACAAGAATTCTTTTACACTCCTGTAGTCTAGTGTAATATATTATTTTCCTAGTTGGTTCTTGGCTATTCTCTTGATGAAATTCATTCTATCTTTTATCATATCTTGTGAATGTAGACAATCATCTCTTGCTGTGGCCAAAGAATCAATCGTTTTTCTTTAACCTATGAAATAAAATTCATTGCAAATTTTCCATAATAATAATAATAATAATAAAAATTGGATTTATATAGCGCCTTTTCCGAAGGTTACAAGGCGCTGCTCTCCTAGACTTTTGACTATTTAAGAGGAGTTGTACAGGTAAGTTTTCAGATGTTTTTTTAAGAAATCTAACAAAGTACTGTTTCTTAAGAAAGAGGGGAGTTTGTTCCAGAGACGTGGGGCTAAGGACTGAAAGGATTTAATACACACATTATTCCCCTTTATACTCATTTCAATAAAATTATCCTCTATTAGAATGGTTACGGTCCTCATAGAATATAAGATCCCTTGTATACATTTATGCACAACATTTTCTGTTGTTGTGGTAATGATAATAATAATAATTATAATAGTAGAGTCTGGCACATTGTCACTCCTGGGGGGTGTTTCACAAAGATCCTAAGTCGAACTTAACTCTAAGGTGGGCTTAAATTTTATAGAGAGCCATTTGTAGCCTTAAATTAAAATATGTTCAAAAGCTAAAATTCAAGTATTCTGGACTTTTTCTGAATTCCACATCAAAAACATGAAATCTCCTTGATGATCGAAAATTATGAATGATTTGAATCAACATTTTATGCCTCTTAATTTAACTTTTACATAATATTTTCAAGGATGCTAATGGCTTTCCATAATTGTTAAGTCCGACTTAGAGATACATGTAAGTTCAACTTAGGATCTTTGTGAAACACCCCCCTGGTGCTCCATTATTATCACCCTGGCTTTAGAATGGCTGCCATTACAGCGCCAGCAACCATTTACCTCACCTGGATAGACAGGGGCAAATGTAGATTATGAGATGACGACGTGGATCCTAATCAAATAATCGGTTGAAGGCGTATACGTGACAAGGCATTTATTTTGCCTAACACGTAATTTGGTTAATGACCGGTCATTATCAAATGCTAATGACTGGTCATTGGTAAAATCATATTATAAAACATAATTTTATAAAACAAATTAAACATAATCTTATAAAAAAAATAATACACAACATTTGTTCGGGCATTAGTAAAATAACCCACACTCGGTACCTTCAAAACAGTCCAAACACTCTCAGCTACTGCCTCTGGCGTGTTAGACTGTTCCAAAGGTATCTTGTGTAGGTAATTCTTACTGATGCCCTCACTGCTGTGTATTATTTGTATACTAATGTCTTACCAAAGGACATAAGTGCCGCAGTGGTACTCAAACCTTGAACCATTTGATCCACAGTCCGGTATCGCATCCACTAGACCACGACACCTCTATGTGGCATGAGGGGTGAGAATTAGTATTCTGGGGTATCAGTGGCCCCCTCTTGTACTCACTTACCGTATTATGTGTCATACGATACAGAAATGTTTGGAGCACTAAGACAGGTCGTTGTATTTTGGGGTGTTTGGAGGCAGTTGACCAGGGTCCCATTTCACAAAACTTGTCATCAGTAGCAAATGATTGTTTTTGTTATAAAGCAAGTGAAATGCTTGCTTCTGATTGGTTATCAGCAGATTTGTCACTGATTTTTGTCATTTGTCATTGAAAAAAGCCTTTGTGAAACAGGTCCCAGGTCATACGTTTGGGGAAGGAGAATTACAAACTTATAAAGATTCTTGCTTTTAATAGTAAAGGATACAGATGTACTCCTAGCTCTCCTCCACCATCTTGCACAGTGTGAATGATCTTCTTCATGACGTCTGCATGTCTGTAATCATAGATGCACAGTTACCAGTAATGAAGGGTTGGTTTAAGATTTAAACAAAGAATATATATTTTTCTTCACAGTGCCTGGGGTAAAATTATATATGTAAAGCATTTAGAGACATCGTAGATGTAGTAAGCGCTATATAAAAGCGAATATTATTATTATTATTATATCAGTAACGATATCTAGCAAGGATTATTGTCATAATTACCAATAGCATTAATTTGGCACTTTCCAATTATCAATAAACCATATACGAAGGAGTCCCAACAATATTTTCATGTTGCACAATTTGCACATAACTTGACCGGTACAGAAAAGTAAGACAAACTCCTGTATACCTGCATGGATGTACAGAGCACATGGTCTGTGGAAGGTTGGGGTGAGATTCTACAGTTACAGTTTTCTTCACATGATCCTGGCTAATATCTTCATACATCTGTTCTACAGTCAAAGGTTTTCGATGCTAAAAGAAATCAAAAAAAGAAAGAGCATAGTGTAAAGGTACCACAACAGAGAATAGAATTTACTCCACTTAAAGATAAAGACCAGTAATGGTCATGCGATTGCATTGTGAAAGAAACGTTGTGGAATCAATCAGAAAAGGTTGATCATCTAGCATATAAGTATTGGTGTGTACTGCAAGGTTCTGGAATCATCAAAATGATAAGAAATTTTTCCCAGTCTTGGTAAAGTTACAAGCACTGTACACAGAAACATGTATATGGGACTACGCAACATGTGCGCGACACATGCACGATATCTATCAGGTCCAAATAGATATAATAATTTACCAAATATATCAATTATTAGGCGGTTTCCCAGGAAAATTTGTATCATCACATATTAGTCAAAACATATTCTTTCACATGATTGGTAATAAGAGCTTCCATTTCATTTTTGAGAGGGGGGCGTTTCCAAAACTGGTATTTACCTTTAAAGAGAAGGTGGAGTTCTGGGGAGATACTTCCTTTTGGTTCTTAGTGGTTTAAATTTAAAAGTCCTTTAATTTGTGAAATCTACACAGATAATGTGAACTATCTTGCAGTATTTACAAACACTTGTCAGTCGACGTGCGTTACAGTGTCTACGTAGTGAGACTAGGCTGACTGCACGGTCTACTGCACACCATAGGCTCTATACTTAAAGATGAAGTTGAGTTCTGGTCATGCGATTGCATTGTGAAAGAAACGGTGTGGAATCGATCAGAAAAGGTTGATCATCTAGCATACAAGTCTTCTTGTGTATTGCAAGGTTCTGGAATCATCAAAATGATAAGAAATTTGACCAAGTCTAGGTAAAGTTACAAGCACTGTACACAGAAAGATGTATATGGGACTACACGAACACGTGGCAGACAGATTTTTACGATGTTACATGCCATATTTAGAATATGAAGGTATTTGAAGAGCCATTCTTTTCAGGGAACATGTTTTATCTGATGTTCTTCCACACTTGCATAATAACAATGATAACGCTCACAAATTATTGTTCACCTCTTTCCAGAACTCAACCTTCTCTTTAAGCTGCTCCTGACACAGTCAGAGACTGACATGAGCTAGGCTCTCCCCAAAACTTTATGAATTGCGGTAAAGTCTGTGCTTGGAGACAAAAAGTGAACTTACCTCATCATAGCCAAATAACCATAGCCTAGGTGTCTGGTAGTACTTGTCATATGTGATGTTAAGATCATACGTTCTGGTTTGTAGTATTCCGCTCTCTCCACTAGCCCCTGCGCTCTCAGACGCTCCTGTACCTGGTAGGTTACTCGTATCCAACGTTGCCTGTATACAACAATCAAACACAATACAATCAAACCAGAACAATTTACCAGAATCAGAACTACATGTACATGAACAATTTGTCTGTTCAGAGCCAGGGGCCTGTTTCTCGAAACCGTCATAAGTCTAACTTCTTGACTATCCCATTGAAACGTGTGTTAATTCTATAACACATGTTTCAATGGGATAGTCAAGTAGTTAGACTTATGACGGTTTCGAGAAGCAGGCCCCAGGACCCTGCTGCATAAAAATAATAGCATTGGGTGGTATTCCGATTGGCTAAACTTAGTCCATACTTTCATGGAGTGCCTGTTGTCAACTCATTTACCCTGTACAGATTATCTTAATCCTGCAATGAAAAGTGTCCAATAAATTAATTTTGCAATGAAATGGGAAGAAAGAGATAATATGAGTATGAACTGAATTTCAACAAAGTCTTTGGTAGATTATCTTTGTCATGAATATTGAAGGAGGAAGATGAAACATAGCATTCCATAGAAGTGTGAATTAAAGTTCTTGTTTAGTCTGGACTTAGTCCCGGCTTACCTTATGAGAATACCACCCATTGATGGTAACTTCCATGGAAAACTTGATTTGATTGGCTGTTGAGTTTTGTTGCCATGGGAGTTATCACTAATGGCAACGTTACCATCACTGATGGCAAAGTTACCATTACTGATCATTTTTACGCCACAGGGCCCAGAAGGGCGTTGTGTAATATTAAAGTTAATGCCATCCTGGATCCAAAAAGATGACTGAATTTTGTAAAAATGTCATGCCATGAAATAATAGAGTCACTACATTAAATTTTTGGAGGTAGCAAAAGTTACGTGCTGTAAAAGCTGCCATTGTTAAAAATTCATAAGAGTATTATCACTTGCGGTAAATTTCTGGTTTATAGTAGCTACTTTAAAGATGCATAGCAGTGGCTTCTCATAGGGAATTTGACACCATTTGGGAGTTTACCCACTAACAGGTGTGGTGAATAACTAGGATTGGCCTTCAGTTTTATAACCAACAGGCTCCCATATGGTTAAGTCTAACCTAGTTAAGTCATTATCTTACATTTCTGTCACTCGAAAACGTTTTGATGGGAAAGACTTCTACCCTCATTAATGGTACTTCCATCAATTCTGGTGTCAGTAAATTATGACCTTCTGCACATGGAAACTGACGACCATTTCCCTTTAATAACATTTTCTTCTTCAGTATTGCTCTATACACCGCTCAGTTGCATTCGAAGTGGTACAGGCCAGGGTGCTACAAGAATTTTTTTCACCACTTGCCCTGTCGGGCAAGTGGGTTTTCAATTTACTTGCCCAAACAATATTTCCACTTGCCCAAAACTTTAAAGCGAAAAAGGACTCGAGGTTAAAGCATTTATTATCTCGTAATGATAAGTTAGTGTTTTAGATAGCAAATTAATGCACATACATGTACAGTGTAACTGTACTGAATAATAACCTAATATGTCAAAGAAAATGGTCAACAAAGGATGGTTGAAGGTTTAAAAAACGCATTTTATTGATTCTCCATAAATAATCAGATTCACATGAATCTCGGCAAGGTAGAATGGTTCAAGCAGGTTTAAGTTTTTAATATTCAGTCATGTAAAAAAGCATAATGACCCTGTTGTAAAAAATATGATACAAACATGTCATTAATGGTAGCCACATGTACCATGGTGCAACATCACATGTGTGTCTGTGCAAGCCGCTGTCATTTGGAAACGTAGGCTAATTTTCAGCTGTTAATAATTTGGGTCAACTCTTCCATCAAGAAACGTCATGTAAATAATGGGTAATCAACTATTTTAAATAAAGTACGGACATTTTTATTTCATCATTCACTGCTATAAATATCATGCCAAAATTTGTAAATTCTTACTAAATAATAATATTGAAGATATTTTACGATAAATCTCGGATAAGTATGCGAAAACTAGACTAAACAACGTCGCTAAAACCATGAAAACAAAACAACAACGGCTTATATTCTGGGGGTCTCGATACTATTATCAAAATGACTCGCTCGGTCGGATCTTGAGACCGCAGTAATAAATTGAAAACGAGACAAAAACATTCATCTGATTTATATGAGCAGCGAGTTTTAAATAATATGTTCACAATCATTAACAGTCATTATGAATCCCGGCCCCCCCACTCAGAGGTCGGAATGACCGCATGCGTGTTGCCAAAATGTCCGGTAAAGGGGTACTTTTCGGGCGACAAAGTCCGGCCCGAGAATTGTAAAAAAAGGGGTGTATTTGACTTTTCACCCGGAGATTTCTTTAAAAAGGGGGTGTTTTCCTTTTTTTTCTCTCATCTCTTTGGACTCCTAAGAAATTATTCCGAATTTAGGGGGGTACATAGAGCATTTTTCCTGATTTAGGGGGGTCTCCAAGGCAGGAAAAGCCCGCGAAAAGCCCGCGAAAGGGGGGTTCGGAAATGTTGGCAGTCCTCAGATAGGGGGTGCTTTCAAAAAGAGGGTACGAGCATATGCGTACCCTAAATAACACTGAGTGGGGGGGCCGGGTTATGAATAAATATCAAACATTTGACTTTTTGTACTTACTAGAAAATCCCTGTTGTTTATTCCATTCCGATTCGCACGTGTTCATTTCCCTAGAATAATGACGTCATATTTGGCGTGATTCAACCAATCGGCAATCAGAGAATAGCAAAGGCCTGTCGGTGCGGCCTGCAGAGCTAGAGAGAGAGAGCGCGAATAAGCTCGCAGCTGGTACGATCGCGCTAGCTGTCTCTAGCTAGCTCACGGCCGGCCGTGCGTGGAGGCGGAGCGGCATTCATGGCTTGAAGTGTCACTGTTGCATGCGCGCTGAGCTAGCTGAGCTGGCTAGCTGTCTGTGAAGTTTTTTCGAAATCGGAACGATCGCTTTTTTGCTTCTGGATTTTGACGACGGGTAAGAAGTTGACGGGTGAATGGTAGAGTTCTTGGACACTAGGAAATTACTGTAAAAGTATCACTTGCCCGAATCGGGCAAGTGATAATTTGATTTACTTGCCCGACGGCTCAATTTGGTTGCCCCGGGACGTCGGGCAAGCGGGTTTGTCGCGCCCTGCAGGCAAAGAAGAGATTTCTAAGGAGTTCCAAAATATTCTTTGCACCTTGTACATAAGTACGTATGGATGACTTTATTACATGTATTTAATCTGATTATGATATATCTCTGCTGCAGAAATTTGGATCATTCCTTTATTGAGTTCCCTTATCATACCCATACTACACAAATTCAGGGTCCTTTACAGAATGTAATGTAATGGTACATTTATGTTGATAAACAAAAAGAACTCACATTGTCTTCAGCTTCTAGCATTCCACTTTCCTCAAAAGCTGAAATAAAAACAGTTAAGTATATCATAGGGTGTGAAATTCATTCCATATCACTATTGGGTTTTCACAGCATTTAAACATAACTACTACAACCCAATTCAACTTCGTTCGGTCTGTTTGAACTCATGATTTACTAATATATTCCAATCATATCAAGAAAAGAAGAAAAAACATGAACAGACTCCAAGGGCCAATTCTCAGCACACTGCAAATAACGGCTCATTCAATTTGAGGACAGTGGTGAAACTCAGGCTCAGTTAAAGATTTCAAGGTAAATTTAGCCGGGTTCTTTTTTTCTTCGTTTTTCTTTCTTTTACATGTAAATGACTTCAATAGTAATAAAGTATCTGCATTATATTCTGCTTTTATATACATGTAGCACTTACGAAGTCTGTAAGCCCTTTACACATATACTACATGTATTACCAATAAATATATTTAGATATATTTTCTAAATCAAAAGGGTATGCATAAGTGGTGACTGTTCTCCACCTAATGGCACCCACCCTTAAAAACACCTAATTACCAACAAAAGACCAGGAACTTGAAGAAAAAAATTAAATCAGCATACTATCAACAATCGGGTGCAGAAAAGAGGCCTTAGAGGGAAAAAGTCTTATGCTACTTGCACTATGAACATGACAAACAAAGAAAGTGGACAAAATATACAGTTCCTCAGGTAGACAAGGGAACATCCCTGCATAATAGCAGTGAAGGGATGTTCCTTTGTCTACCTGAGGAACTGTACCGGTATATTTTTTCCGCTTTCTTTGTCAGTCATGTTCATAGTGTTGGCTACATATTTCATTTGAGGAGCATGTGTTGTACACCCTTCTGTTCATTACCTTCCATATCTTCTGCTTCTTCCTCATCGTCCTCGTCATCATCATCATCATCTCCATCAACCTTTGGCTCTGTCTTAGGTTCAAGCGTCATCTCACTGGACTTCTCAATCCCTTGGGAACCTGTCAAATCTGAGGCAGAAGAAGAAGCAGATGTCTAATCTTAAAAGGACTGTACCAAATAATCTTATACATATTCTCACCATATACTCCTTCAGGCCTTAAAGGGTTGGGTAACTTTGTCTCAGATTCTGAAACAAAATCCTTGATTTAGCCCATTCTGCAATGATAATTATAAACCTTTAGGGCAGTCAGGAACCCCATGACTTTTACAAGCCAATCGACTGTCTGATTATCAAGATATTTATGATTGGAATTACAAATTTAGAAAACCGTTTGCCAAACGATTTTCATAACACTACAGTCTATTGGGGAAAACGAGTTCGGTAAAACCGGTCACTCAAAGATTTTCACTTTATTGAGAAATTTTGAAGCGTAGGGCCGTGTATCTCAGATTTAACATTGTTAAACGATCCCTTTAAGATTCCAAATGAGTAAAATGATTATATCATCTACATCTTATCATTCAATAGTATTGGTAGCCTCTTCATATTATAGTCAGTTTCTCATCATCATTCCTCAATATTGTTACCATCACCACCACCATCATCACCACCACCACCACCACCACCACCACCACCACCACCACCACCACCACCATCACCACCACCACCACCACCACCACCACCACCACCACCACCACCACCACCACCACCACCACCACCCACCACCACCACCACCATCACTATCACCACCACCACCACCACCACCACCACCACCACCACCACCACCACCACCACCACCACCACCACCACCACCACCATCATCATCATCACTATACGAGACGAATACCTGCATTATGATGTGTATCAACCCATCCTCCATCTTCATCATTCTCTTCGATGATGGCTTCATTCTCGTCCTGGTATTCCATCTGCTTACATCTCTTATAGCATGGAACTGTAACAAATGAATAACAATTCTTTATGAAGTACTAATCATTTTAAATCAAGCTTTTGATAACACATGGGCAATTTCTGCATTGACATGCTTTCTATAAGATATAGTCTCCAAAGTACCTTATGCAAAGGAGGAAAGAAAAATGTGTGGTTGAATTCATATCTTCACGGAGAGATGATAAAAGGCTAAAAGAACACAAAAGTCAATTACTTGTAGTAACTAGTAATCATAGCACAAGTGCATACACCACTTTACAAATGTCAATATTAATTGGAAATGTGAATTATCATGCACTAGTTCAATTTCACATTGGAATTTCTACATTACCGGTAAGAATTTGCTGCCCTATTGGTGTTTTATTTTAATTTTAGATTAAGGCACGATGGCGCAGAGGTTGAGCAAGTCAATGCGCTCATGCTCTTTGAAAAGGCATCAATCCTCATTACAAAGTCCCTTTGGAGAGGACTTAAGCCCCACTATCCTTCTTGTAGCTACTTGCTCCCTCTATATAGAAAACTTTCCCAATCGGTGCCTGTTGGCCCCCCATGATCCTCTTTTTATTATGTAAGGTGAGAGCTGAGTTAATAAGATAGCCACCTGTCAGTGAAATCACTGTGTGGTCTAATCCCTTCTGGCCCAGTAGTATTGACAGTCTTTAAAGCCTCAGTCCCCTAGTTGTTTACTTAAAACCATATGCATGGTTTCTATTAAAGCATTCAGGTGAAACAATCTTCCTCAAATATCAAACTTGAGATAAATTGTTAAACGCAACACCACATATCTCTGGACTCACGAGGGACATGCAACAATGTATCTGTTCCACATTGTCATTAACATGAACATGTTCACCATCATAATACTCATATACATGTGTACATGTACATGTAAGCCTGAAACTAGCCTTTTATGATGCTTTCAATCAAAATTCAACTAACCAACTTCGTACTGGTATGTACAGTGTACATACCAATAGAAGCTAAAAACATATTGAATATGCTGAATATATTCTTTCTCTTTCATTTTCAATAATCCTAATAATGAATCATCAATAATTTGAACTTATTTCACTTATTTGCCAACATTATATTCCAAAAAAAATGTTTATCACAATTAAATGTAATTCATTTTGGCATGTGCTCAGCATAGTGATCTACAGGAGGTTTTTCATATGAAAATAGAAACTAGCACTGTCACTTTTTATGGAAGATTTATCAATCAAGATAATTAAAAGTGAAAGAGAAAGAATAAACTGAACACTGTTTAATATGTGTTTCAATTATCTAAAAGCTTTGATAGGTTGGTGATCCTGTCAGCAGTTTATTATTTTCATTTTTGCAGGAATCAAAGCAGCATTATTGAAGGCTAGTTTCCTTACAGGTCATAAAAGTTGTTCAATGATCTTGATTGAGATTTGAGAATCACTCACATTCTGGTCTGCTGTGTTCATGGCATTAATTAGCCAGCCAAACTACAAAAGTGAACCAAAAGTGAAACTGTTTTTAATACATCCAAAGTTCATTCACTTTGATTTTCAACTATGAACACACATGCAAAATGTTATATCAAAGTAACCAATTTTGAATATAATTGCAACCCAGGGCCGGTATTCAATTCAATACTGAATAGCATAAGTAAGAAATTTACTAAGTAAAGGCTAAGTTAAGTAATTTACTTATCTCATATTCAAATCGCATTTTGGACTTCTACTTTCGTAAGACAAAATCTAAGTAAAATACTTACTGATAAGCATTGTGATGTCACACAGTCAATCAAAATTAATGAGCAATTGATGCTTTGCAATAAATGCCAGGAGATATAATTGTGCACAGGTTATAATACTGCGTAAGAAAACCATATGCCTGCCAATCAAGGCCTCCAAATAATTGGCTGAAGTCTGGTATAGAGTTGGCATAGGTTTAGGATGAAATACTTAGCCAAAAGTGTGAATTGAATACCAAAATTGGCTAAGTATTTTATCTAAGCCAAATACTAAGTAAAAAGCTTAAATGCTGTACTGAAGTATTGAATTGAATACGGGCCCAGGCACTTAATTCAGGCTTGCTTTTTAATATCTCCCATTGTTCTTCATAGGCAAGTGGGATTTTTTTTTGATGTTTTGATTTTTTTTCCTTTTCTTCCCAGAGCTCTTTTGATTGTCAGCAAACAAATGTAGTTTAAAAAAAGCATGGAGATAATGGACCAGATTTATTGCTATAATCTGAAAAAAGATACATGTAGACTTGATGCTTTAATTTAAAACAACAGCTGTGTTAAAATGATGTCCTTCAAATTTAAAGCTTATCTGCACTAGTTTATAGGAGGGATTAGACTACCCTGCAAGGTCACTGGACAGATGGTTATCTCATCAACTCAGCTCTCAATTAACATAAGAAAAAGAGGATCATGGGGGACCAATGGTCACCGTTTAAACATTGTTTTCTACATAGAAGGAGCAAGTAGCTACAAGTAGGACAGTGTGGCTTTAAGGTGTCATGTCCAATTTGGCATGGTCTTACCATTCTTAGTGAGAAGAAACTGTTTTTCATCTGGGAGATAAGACTTCTTTTTGCTGGGCTCTCCTGCACTCCAACTCCATGTCGGACAGCTGTGAACTAGATGATCTCCAGCAGCAACAAACTCGTCAGGTGTCAAGACTCCCGTCTCTTTGAACTTTGACTCCTAACACCAAAATGAGAGAGAGAGAAAGAAAAAATGTTTGTTATGTTTTTGTAAGTTATTCTGGGTTCATCTCCTTCTTTCAAGAATACACCAGTTTACGGTTAGGGGCGCCATTTTAATTGGCGAGTAAACAAAGCCAATGACCTAGAGGTCATGTATTTATACGTAAATTAAGATTGCACCCATGCAAATTATGATGACATCACTGCCTACGCGCTGCATTGTGCGCTCACATCATCATCATCATTAATTATTGTTTTAATTAATATTATCGTTTTGTTTTTGAATATTATTATTATTATCATCATCAATATTGTTATTATCATTATCATCATAATTTTTCTCACTACTGTCGATAGTGTTATTTTTTATGGATAAACTCTATTTGTATTGTATATTTCAGTGTTAAATTGACAAATTCAAACTGATTGTAAACTTCTCCAATACCCCAATGTGGGTGACATGAGAATTAATTGTCATTGTCATCATTTGCATGGGCGCAATCTTAATTTACGCATAAATACATGACCTCTAGGTTATTGGCTTTGTTTTAAAAGCCAATTAAAATGGCGCTCATGTCTGCGCATGCGCACTGATGTAACCGTAAACTGGTGTATTGTATCTGAACAACAAAGTAAAAGTGAAAGGGACCCCCCCCCCCCCCCCAAAAAAAGAGGCTAAATTGTCCCGTCTAGAAATGAGACAGAGCTAACTTAGGGAGCTTGAATCGATCGCATACATGTAGGGTTGGGTTCGTCTGTGTGCACACTTAGCAACAAAAACAAAAAATGTAATATTTGCCCTATTTGCCAAATGTATCCCTGACTAATGCTTAGTTTACATTTGCCCCGGGCGCTGTACGATAAATTGGTTTATGATTTTTTTTTCATATTTTTCGTAGTTCAGTGTTGAAAGCTGGTGATGGTGTTGTGAGAACACCAACACCAGCTACAACACCGAACTTGAAGTCATGCTGGTGTTGAGGTTGACCTCGGAAAATATGATGCATTTCCGGTAGTCTGTGTTGAAGGCTGGTGTTGTCTGCTTGAACCGAGTATCGCGGTTGGTGTTGACGATTTACATGTAATTTTCCCATTCACCGACACCAGCCCCCAGGGATTGGGAAATTCATGATTTCAAGTTTGGTTTTGGTGTTGGTGTTGCAGTATACCGCAGGTAACTATGCGGACATCTGGCACGAATCTCACAATCATGCCAAGGTAAAATTCAATTGTACAGTCAAAACAGCTCTGTAAATCAAGTGAAAGGATATTTTATCTATTGACTTTTTAATATGACTTTACATTTGATATTCGATATGATGTAATTTATTGGAATATCTGAATGGATTATGCTTTTATCACAAGACTTTTCGTGTGTAGAGTAGGACGTCACTCAGTATCGTCCTTCTAAACTGACCGTCGGTGTTGGAGCTGGTTCAGCAGCCTTTCTGCACTCTCAACACCAACACCAGCACCGAACACTGTAGGCCTAGACGATGCCTCTGCTCCTCAATGCCCTACTTTGATTTCTGGGACAGCAATGAGTTGCAAAAAAAGAAAAAATATTGAGAAGGGGATTTATTTTTAAAGCCAAAGCAAAGGTCATGAAGGTCACTCCAGCAAAACATAGAGAGTCAATGCAAATGCGTATTGACCTCTTGCACTGCATACTTACTGAGAGGCAGGTTTTATTAGACCTACGGTATACACAAATATACACGCAACACAATATTGCATAGACTGCACACAATCATGCCGATGCGGATGTAAGCAAAGTTTGACAGTAGACTTAGAATTTGAATTTTTAAATTGTTCTTTTTAACATCAGTAAGTTGAAAAAAATGTATTTTACTGCTATTTAGGTGTCATCAATTGTCACTAAAGTACCGATTTTGAGTGAAATCAGTTGAGTTTTGTACAGTGGTGTTTGAAATGTTGAGAATGAAAAGCTCAGCTTACTACACAGCTTATGTGTGATGAAGGTGTGGTGTAAAATGTACTTGAAATCATTCATTCATTGCAAGCGCGTAGCCAGGATTTCATTTTAGGGGAGCAAAAAAATATATATACATAAACATGTATATCCTCTTACCCCCCCCCCCCCCCCCCCCCCCCTCTCTCTCTCCCTGGAAATTCCTGGATCCGCCCCTGGTAGAGAAAGAGATTTAGAAAGGAATATACGAAGAAAAACACTACATGTAGTACAAAGGAAAATTACAGGGAGAGGGAGAGGGAGAGAGAGAGAGAGAAAACTTAAAAAGGAGAAATATTTCGACAGAATTATCAAAGAAATAATCGGACTTTGTAAAATTCACAATGTTCTGTAATGAAATTAAAAAAAATACCAGCATAATGGTGACCTAGCAGTGCTTGATTATTACCAATGCCAGTTGAGATCGCCATGACATGTACAATGTAAGCATGTCATGGCATATGGCGATCTCAACTGGCATACCGCACGCTAGCACGCTAACATTTAGCATCCCACATCACAACCATCAGAACATCCTAGTGTCGCACTGCATGCATTTCATCCATAAACAGCACATTCAACGGAAACAGCGCTAACACAAGTCAGAGGTCAGCGCCATTGATATGTAGAGCTGCCATTCTCACGCTACATGTGTCTTCTACCCCAGCTCCATCATTCTGGTAAGAAATTTACTTTTATTTCGTTATTTTTACCTCCGATTTTTAAATTCAGGAGGTAATTAGGACTAATAGTCCAACAAAATTCATCAAGGCCACTGTCCAATATTGGGCGGGTGCGGGTAAGTGTGATTTTGGACACATTTGAGGTGTTGTTTACCTACCTCTCCGTGCAGTGGTATGGGACCCGGTTAAGGCTCCCTCGAATAGGGAGCCCTTAAGGCTAGTAGTGACTTAACTTAAAAAGTGCGCGTTGCGGGCTACCTAGGGGGGTGGGTGCAGGGAGGGGGAAGTTTCCCGCGCGAAGCTTTGGAAGCTTTGAAAGAAGACGATTCGTTGTACCTTTCTCGACTCATTATCCTCGTCTAAATTCAGTCCGCACCTCCTGCGCAAAGCGCGGAAACTTTGAAGTTTCATTAAATTATTAGAGAAAGAAGACGATTCGTTTTTCCGTTCTCGACTCTTAATCCTTAATTTGAACTCAATTTCCCGCTCTCCGCGGAAGCTTTGACGTTTAATTAATATTAGAGAAAGAAGACGATTTGTTGTACCGTTCTCAACTCCTTTTCCCTTTTTCTTCCTAGATCAACGTCCTCTTACTTTTTTTCTTCTCTTTCTCTCCCTTTTTTTTTTGTAGGGGGGGGGGGGGGGGGCGACCCCCCCCCCCCCCCCCCCCCCCCCCCCCCCATCCCCATGCCATGGCTATGCACTTGATTCATTGTCGACTGCACTGCCGGTCACGAAATGAAGTCTACTTGACCGAAGTGGAAGCCATTGGAATTTGTGTGGGTATGTTGGAAAATTCATAGGCGCTAGTGTAGCAAGGTATCCAAAATATAGCCTACTAAAAACAGACCCCAAATTTTGTGGTCATCATTACCCTAACCCTAACCCTAACCCTAGAGATAATGATAAACACGAAATTTGGGGTCTAAAATTTGAGGTCTGTTTTAGTAGGCTATATTTTGGATACCTTGCTACACTAGCGCCAATTCATAATAGACCCCTCTAGATCTAGACTAGATCTAGAGTCTAGACCCTATTCCAATTTTCATAAATAAAAATTAATTCAACATGATCATTCAATGACACAAAGTTAATGCATGCAGAGCCATTGAAGTAACGAAAACAAAAATATAAAAATCACAACCTACCTTTAAAATAGGTGTCAAAAATTCAGCCACCCCAAGGCCCATGCCTTTCACGCTATTTATCATATTCTGCATACTCATATAAATTCGTTAGACCTACTTGGACAACCGTAAGTCAAGACAATTAGTTGAAATTCTAAGATTTTGATGACGATCACGAACAAGTCTTTGCCCACTTGCAATTTTCCTCAGGTGCCCCGGAAGCTAACCCGGAATTTGTTGTAGATGGCGCTGTTGAGAAAAAACACATGCCTTAGAAAGTTCGCTGTAAATAGCCAGCATGAGTCCTTGGGCCAGAACAGTTGATGAATCTCACCATTTTGTTCTGTATAATCTTCAACTCACTGGCGTACCTATGGGGGGGGGGGGGGGGGCAGGGGGGGCAGAGTGCCCCCCCTGACGGGCTCCAGGGGAAAAAAGAAAAAGGGGAAAGAAAAGAAAAGAAAGGAAAGGAAAGAAAAAGAAAAAAGGAAAAGGAAAGAAAAAAGGAAAGAAAGAGAAAAAAAGGGAAAAAAGGAAAGAAAAAAAGGAAGAAGAAGAGAAAAGGAAGAAAAAGGGAAAAGAAAAGGAAAGGAATAAAAATGGGGAAATTTAAAAAAAAAAGGACCATGGCCGTACGCACCAGGGGGGGGGGGGGCAGTTGACCACAGATATTTTGAAAACGTACAGTTTTTTTTCCTGAAAATGTAGTGTAGGCCTATACCAAATCCTTCAATTCTATTTTTGAAAATGCAAAAGTACCCTCATGACCAGTTCGGTCGCTCGAACTCCCTTCACTCCTTTTGCTTTTGAGATTCTTCGAAAACTTTTAACGCATCTTTCCCCCTCCCCCACCAGAAAAATATTCCGCATACGGCCCTCAAAAATTAAAACAAATGAAAATAGGAAAATATAAGTGATATAACAAATTCGAAACTCTTCGCTGGCGGGAACTGCTTGCTAGCCTATTTTGCATTAAATGTTTTCACTTGCTCGTCCCCCTGAAAAAAGAAAAGGATAAGTATTGCCTAGAATACAATTGTGCCTGCCCCGACGGGGCCCCGACCTGCAACCATGGCAACAATGACACACAATATATGTACCAAATGTTACTAAAAGAGACTAATTCATTTTTCTCGCTCGCTACACTCGCTCGCGAATAAAATGAATAGACATTGCTTTGGAAACAATTGTGCCCACCCTTGACCTGCAATAATATCATTAAAAATGGAAGAGTTTTTTCGCCCTCTCGCCAAAAAGGAATTGAATCGCGTTAAATGCGATTGCGTCCATCCTGACCTGCACCAATAAAAACAAGTTTATTTATTAATTTCTATTAAAAGAGAATTTTTTTTTTTTTTTGCTTGCTCGCTATGCTCGCTCGCCAAAATGGAATTGACACCGCTAACGTGCCCGCGCCGACCTGCAACAACCAGTTAATAATTATGTACCAAACGTTATTCAAAGAAGTTTTGGTGTGCTCGTGCTCGCCAAAACGGAATTCACATCACCTTAGACATGATTGTGTAAGCCCTGCCCTGCAACAAAAAAATCTGAAATTTATGAACCAATTATCATTACAAAAATTTTGCTCGCTCGCTACGCTCGCTCGCCAAAATAGAAATAACACCGCTTTTAATAATCACGTCCCTGACATGGAACAATGAACCCAAGTTTTATGTACCATATTTTCCCTATAAAAGAGAAGTGATTTTTTTTTTTCGCTCGCTACGCTCGCTAGCACGTGGAATTATGTGCCCACCACTAACCTGCTACAATATCATTACAAAGAGAAATGTAGGGGGTTGTTCCCGCGCCCTGCATGGGACAATTGAACCAAGTTTAAGTGGCAATTATTAAAAAAGAAGTGATTTTTTTCTTGCTCGCTACACTCGTTTGCAAAAAAATGAAAGTAACGTCGCTAACAAGTGAATGTTCCCACCCCCAACTTGCAACAATACCAGTTTATATACCAAACGTTACTTAAAGTTTTTTTTTGCTCGCTCGCTCGCCAGAAGTGAAAATTAGCATCGCCTTTTTTGTTTGTTTCGGTCGCTTGCCCCCCCCCCCCCCCCCCTGATGGAGTACCCCAGGTACGCCATTGCTTCAACTTCTTTTGATCTGACCAAGAAGTTACTAGCCAGTAACTTCTTGATCTGACGTGTTGATGTTACTATACCATGCAGGGTTAGCATACTCAGATAAACAATGAATAAGAGCAAAACAGAGTATACGTCTTGCTTTTAAAATTTAAATCCATACAACTTTGATATCTGTCCACAAATTTCAGACTAGAATTTGCCAACTGATTCTATTAAAGATGAAAACGAAATTTCGCTAGCCAATCACAGATTCTTTTCTCTTGATTACTTGATTATTGCAGGGGCGGATCTAGGGGGCACAGGGGGCTTGTGCCCCCCCCCCGGGCAAAAAAAAAATAATAATTAGTGCTCACAACACCCCCCCCCCCCAACAGATTTCCAAATTTTCGGGAGCAAAAAAAAAAAAAATGTGCTCCCCCTCCCCCCCCCTTCCCCCACCCCCGCTTATTCAGCGGCTGGCTGAGACGTTGCGATTTTTCTGGGACCAAAAAAAAAATATATATATATGCTTTCTGTTTTTCCCAAGTGTAAAGAAAGCTTATAATCAGTCATAAAATCGACACACGTAGACAGTTGTTCACTGAGCTTTTCCTCAAGTTGTTAAATCATGCCTTTTATTTCATATAAAAGGAATACATGTGTACATTCAAGACCAGGTCCATGTTCCCTTTCCGAAACCATGGCAGGTCGCACTACATTATTAAAAAAAATACAAACAATAATGCATCACAAGTACAAATATATATCAATCATGCATAATTACAATTATATATCAATCATGTATATTTACAATTATACATTAATACATCAATATACATTACATTCATATATCAATCCTGACTGTATAGTAGCAATTACTAATCGTGCCTGCATTACTCATGTATAGGTTGGCAAAAAAAAAAAAAAAAAAAAAAATTAAGGGATTATGATTTTCTGAACATGTGGGTAAAGGCTGGGAGTAGGAAACGATGTAAGAAAATGTGAAAGAGATGGGAAAGTAGAGGGTACATTATAGGTTGGGGATAGAGTGTAAACGAGTGTAAATAAGTCATTCCACTTGGAATACACGAGTGGAAGAAAAGGGGGAAAGTAGGAGGGGGATATAAAGATATTTATGATCAGGATTTGAATAGAGTAGTACGCTGTCATCTGCATACAATAATAGTGTCCCTCTTATCTTCCTTCTAATACTGTTTATCATTGGCAAATTACTGAAATTAAACCCAATCCTAAATTTTGGCATTTGATTAATACTTAACAGGTTCAAATTTAATGTTCAAATTTGGTAGATTGAGGAAATTAAGACCTATAATACCTTAGGTCTATATATCCCAGGTCGAAAATCCATTAGGAGTTTTTTTTTTTTTTTACTGGTTTCTACTAGTTAATTCTTTACTGGGTTTGATATGGAAAGTGAGACCTAACCAGAAGAAACCAGTATATATTTTTTTAATGGATCTATTAGAATACCACTTCTTAAAATTGTGCCTTAGGCTATATAGATTCTAGAAATAAAGCACAACGTAATTAATATGCGCTCTAAATTAGGATTTTGATCAAAGCTAACAAAGCGGCGTCGACATTTCCAGTTCTCTGATTGGCGAACACTGGTATTAGGTTCATCACCCAATAAAATAATATTCGCGCGGATCTTGGTGCGCCTCGGGACTGTTAAAAACGATTTAGTTACTTACAAGGGATTACACGAGATAATGAAATAATCTTACACCATCACTTTAAACATGAAATGCTAACCAATTCCTGTTCAGAGTAAAAGACACCTGACTGCCAAAGAGGACCGGCCAGGAAGGCAAATGAGATCGAGATGAAAAAAAAACTGTCAATGCAGTCGTTCAAGCTGTTCTCATGGCTGACACAGTTGAGGCTACTATAAATCAGGCTGGGTGAGTAATCAAGAAGGAAGAACAACAGAGTTCAGATAAATGAGGAGACTACGTGAAAGGAGGTGAGAGGAAGAAGGAGCAGAAGAAGAAAAGGGGACATAGAGAGGCAAAAAGGAAAGGTGAAGAGCTGGGAGGGAAAGATGGGAAAAGGTAAAAGATGGAATTAATTCACATTATTATGAGGATATAAGCAGGGTGTGGAGCGTCGTGGCGGATTTTTTTTTCGCTCAAGGGGAGGGGGGGGGGTGTTGAGAGTTAAAAAAAAATAGTGCTCACTATCACCTCCCCCCCCCCTTCCTCCGTTGAGAAAAAAAGTGCTCCTTGCCGCCGCCCGCCCCCTCCCCCCCCCCCCCCACCTCCATTCAAGCCGACTGGCTGATTCGCTGCTAAATATTTCCTCACGTATTGGGAGGAAAAAAATATATAGTGCTCCCTCTCCCAGCTTATTAGCCGCTAAATATTTTCTCTTCAATTGCCGCGTTTTCATATACAACATAGAAACGTATGAGTCTGTTTGAGAAAAAAAGACACGAACTCTGACGTATACAGTGCATGCGCAAACGTTATCTCAGTAAGAGGGATGGTATTTAAGTATTTTGTTTCATTCAAAATTCATCTCCTGCGGTGGTGCACCATGCATACATAACCTTTGTCGCGAAGTTGCAAAGATATTCATCTACTTAATTCTAAGCAATTCATAATGCATGAAACACAGAAGGTTTTCTGAGAATCAACTCATCGAGTGTTTACGTCTACTGGTTATCAAGATGTTACTCTGTCATCCAATACTCGTCTATTTCCTCATATCTGCATTCTCCTCTTATGTCGCTTTCTGCAATACAGGTGAGTATCATTCTCCTGTTTGTGAAAAGATTCAAATCAGTTTTATTACCTGGGTATGAATGTTTGTACAATTCTGAAAATAAACCTGGAATGGCCAGTTAACCGTTTTACAGTTTTAGATTAAGATATAGCTGAGGCGTGATGGTAATGGTGTTTAGACTTGTTTAGTTCTTGTCATTCTCGAGGTTGATTTATATTAATTTTCTTAATCTTTCCTGTTCGAAATTTCAATAACTAATGAAAATTTTACTTACGAAATTTTTAATTGCATTTAAAAATATGTTATTATATATAACACATTTCTTATTTTTTGAGGGTTGGGGTGGTGGGGATAACTCTGAAAGTATGCCTTCAGCCGTCGCGTTTTCGTTATCTTATTCATGAAAAATACC